CTTGCCATTACAGTATTGAGAAGGCTTACATATGATTATTAAAGGTAAATATAAATGTAAAGGGAATTTGACTGGTTTATGATTTTCACACAATTTTCCGCCAAGCACACAAATTGTAATTGTATAGTTATTTGTGTAAATAACACTCAGCATCTGTCTACCACATCAGATCCTCAGCTTCCTGATATGTTGTTCATTTTGTTATCCCTTGCGCCTAGCTAGTACAGTGCCTGACACGTAAAAGATCCCAAGTAAACATTCGTTGAAGCAATGAAGTAATGAATAAATAAACTAAATGGGGTCAGACAGCAGAAACAGTGCAATACCTAAGAACAAGCAACAAGTAAACGTGAAGAAAATTTCTCAACTGGGGAAATGAGGTACACAACACTAGAGAGTGACTGCCCAATCTTGCTCATGGAATAAGGATTTTCTGCCTTAAGTACATTATAGTCATTCAACCAAAATTTATTGAGCACCTACTATGTGCCAGGCACTTTTCTAGGGACTAGGGCTGCAGTGAACAAGCATGCATGATCTCTGCGTTCAAAAAGCTGACATGTTTTTCATCTATACTAAAATACACTCTAGCGTTTTAACATCTCTGAAATAGAGATGCCTCTTGCAATCAGTATGGTGTCAAGGGTTTAACTGGCATCATTTTTTCCTTCTAAATGGTACATAAAATATTAGGGCTTCTTACTACTCATAGTGAATTACCTAGATTTAGATTTAAAGTCATGTTATGAATAGGAAATGTACCCGCTAAGCTTTTAAAGTCTTGTTCTGCTAAAACTTAAGCACACAGTTAAGTACTTGTTTTTAAATGAAATACAGACCGCTGATCAATTTGTACACTGTTTGAATCCATGAGATGTACAAAGGTTTACTTAAAACAATGCAAAAGGCCATAAACATTTTCTTTACTTTTCCTATGCAAGACAGCTACCATTTATTGTAAACAATGCAAAAGGCCATTTTCTTTACTTTTCCTATGCAAGACAGCTACCATTTATTGTAAACAATAACAATGCCATAGGTTTCACTGTCACAAACCTTACTGAACCATTCAGGGCTTTTCTTTTTAGCCAGTGATAGTGTTGTAACAAATCCAGCCAGCATTCCCGCTGCAGCAACAGTTCCAAGGAAAATTCCACCTGCCGAGGGTGGGGGCGGGGGAAGAAAGATTTTTTTAAAACCTGAAGCTAAGAAGATGTACACAGGTAAATTTCAGACACTGTTTAAGTTACATTCAAAATCCCTTTTGCAACTCGAGAAACCAAGGTTAAGCAGTTCTTGCCAAAGGTAAATGACAGCGGTAGAAGCGTGCGTGACCTCTGGCTCCTGGGGTTATTCTGAGGTATGAGAACTGGCGCAGAGCATGGGCGCGGGTTCCCTTCCCTTCTCCTCCCGGGCAGGGGAGGAAAAGAGAGATAGAGACAGAGAAGGGCCGGCACGAAAAGAAAAAAACTGCAGAGGGGATGTGGAAATACGGCACGCAGGGGAGAAGAGCTGGCGGGGTCTGCGACCCGACGGGGGAGCCCGCGGTTTGCCCGCCCCGGGCCGTCAGACCCACAGGCTGAACCACGGGCAAGCACCAGCCAGGGACTGGGTGGGAATGTCCGGCCCCGTGCAAGCCAGCGCCCGGGATGAGCTCGACGCACACCCGCACCTCACCACACCACACCTTTAACCAAGAAAAGCCGGTCGTCCGGGGGTCCCGGAGCTTCCAGCCGAGAGGACGGCTCCGCAGCCCCAGCGCCCGCTGCCCCCATGTCTAAGTCCTCCCTCCTGCGTCCGGCGCCAACGGGACCCGGGTGGAAGCGAGAGCGAGGTGGAGAAGAAAGGTTCCGCCGACACCTCCCCCTGTGCAACCTGGAGACGGTCCGGGTAAGGCCTCTGTCCCTACCCCCTCTCTCCGCCGCCGCGGGACGGGGCAGATGTGGTGGCTGCACGCAGTGTCCCCAGCACAGCGCCGGGGGCGGCGTCCTCCCGGGCCGTCTCCCCCGGAGGATCACTCTCGCCTTCTCCAAGGTGGTGATCACCGAGCTTTAGTAATTACCGCGTTTGAAAGCATGCTCAGCCCTGACTCTAGGAGGCAGTGAGGGGATTCACATGGTGCCTGGGCTCCCGGGCCGCTTCGACACCCTGGAGCTCAGCTTCCTGATCAGCCTTACACCATGTCCAAAGATTCAGCCAGCGCCAACAGTGTACGACGGTAAAAAGCAGGCCTCAGTCTTTCCTCTGTACTTTTCTGGGAAGTGTCATAACAGTCGTCAGCTTCGATGTGAGCGACAGGCTTATCCTTGGAAGAGAGCAGGGCTAAGGAGATGACTGAATGAGTGGCACAACCCCAGCAGGAGAGAGGCCCCTTCCAAGAGCTTGCTAATACCGAGCTTCGAGGGTGTCCTAGAACTGCTGGGGAAGCTGGCAGTTAGCAGGCCTGGTCTTCACAGTCAGGGAGGCTGATTTGCCAAAGGTGATGGATCCTGTAAATGGCCATTGAGAGGAGGAGGCTGGTAGTCATAGAAAATCTTTCCAGCCTCCGAAACGGAGACATATGACATCATCTTTAAAGTGAAGCAGTCTGCCATTTTTTTCTCTTACTCTAGGACATGAGCTTCTTGAGGATGAGGGTGAAGATCTATATTAATTTTTATATTCCCCAGCTCTCAGCGTATTAGCTGGTCATGCACGATAAATGTATGCATCTATTTTTAAATCAGTCAAATGCAATTAATGGCCTAAACCTGGGCTCAGATCCTAGACCACTTCTCAGCTGTGTGAACTTGGGTTTTGTCAGGCTGGGTCACAGACCCTTCAAACCCGACCTGTGCAGACTGGGTCACAGACCCCTCATATGCAGGTCATGAGCTAGGTAATTGGAAAGATCCTGGGAGCCACTCGCAAAGTTGACATGCTTTATTTGGACACAAGCTCAGTCCCCCAGTGGATCAGAACTATTGTCTTTTATACTAGAGTCAGATAGCCAAGGAACACCTGGGTGCACATGTTAATGTATTTACAGCAGACATGCTAAGTTATGCTCAGCTAGACATGGGGTGAGGGAGCCTGACCAGTCTGTCTCCGTTTTCTTCACAGGGTTATTTAGCCTTTCTGTACCTCAGTTTCTTCATCTGTAAAAATAAAGAAACAGTGCCTACTGTATAGTGTTGCTGTGAGAATTAAATGAAGGAATATATATAAAGAAGTCAGAGCCTTACTGTATGGTTAAGGCAACTGTTGGAATCTTGCTGTCTTGCTACACAACTATGCCAGTTGTCGGGTTGAGGCAATAGCTATGCTAATTATCTTGTTGGGATTATTGTCAGAATCCTGCAAATGTAGCCAATGGTATCGCTACAGACTACACCAATGTAGCCAGTTGTATTGCTATAGCAATTCATAACTAAAGCCAAAATGTTTCATTATTTTAGTTTTAAGTGTTGGGATAATATATGAAAATGGTCAGGACCCCTCAGATGTTCAGAATCTTGCCGAGCATTTGATGTAAATATGCACATGCGCCCAGGTGTTTCTTGGTTATTGTCTAATGTAGTTGTGCATGTGTACCCAGGTGTCCTGGGTTATGGACTTAGGTATAAAAGATGAGTGGCTCTGATCCACAGAGCCCCCCAAACCCTGGGATGCCCCCAGGAGGCCATGGGGAGGACACTACTGCTGCTGGAGACTGTGGCTGCCAGGGCCCCCAGGGCCCTCCGAGAGGCAGCCATCACCGCCAGACCTGTAAGCTGGTGCTGCTGTTGCTAAGGACTGAGCTCGTGTCATCTGCCAACAGCTCCTAGGACCTTTCCCAATTACCTAGCATGGACCTGCATGTGAGGGGTCTGGGGACCCAGCCTGTACAATGGGCTTGAAGGGTCTGAGCCCTAGCTGTGACAACATAAATGGAAATGTGTAGCTTAGTATAACTAAAGTAATGAAACATTTTGGCTTTAGTTATGATTTGCCTTACTCAACAACTGGTGTAGTTTTACACTAAGTTTTCCAATTGTATTGCTAGGACTAGGGCTAGGGGTTAGGGCCCACAGACCCTTCAAACCCATTGTACAGGCTGGGTCCCCAGACCCCTCACATGTCAGGCTGGGTCTCCACACCCCTCACAAGCAGGCCCATACTAGGTAATTGGTAAAGATCCTGGGAGCCATTAGCAGACGACCCAAGCTCAGTCCTCAGTTTCTTCAGCAGCGGCGGCGGTGGCGGTGGCGGTGGTAGTGGCCTTCCCGTGGCCTTCCCATGCCCCTTCCCAGGGGCCTCCCAGGGGGGTGGGGGCCCCATGGATCAGAGCCACTAGCCCTTTATACTTAAATCCATAACTCAGGACACCTGTGTGCACATGCACAATTACATCAGACAATAAGGGACACCTGGGCACATGTACATATTTACATCAAATGTTCAGCAAGATTCTGAACATCTGAGAGGCCCTGACCATTTGCCTTCACCTTCCCTACAATCCACCCCTTCAGGGTCTCTTGCTGTACAATATACATGTTCAGAATATTCCACGATGTTCCCTCAGCAAGGATAACTGGCCCTTGCATTCACATATAACATATTCTATCACAGTCCCAGCTGTCTTTAGCTTGTTCCAGCACCAACTCAAGTCCAAAGTCTCATCTGAGACTAAAGACAAAACTCCTTTCACCTGTGTATCTGCAAAAAATCAAAAACAAGTTTATCTATTTCCAGGATACAGTGGGACAGACATTGGGTACACATTCACATTCCAGAGGGAAGAAAAGACCAGGAAAGAAGAAAAACAGGCCCCAAACAAATCCTAAATCAAAACGGCAAATTTTAAGCACACTGGGGCATCTGGACCCTGAAAGCATTAGGCAGTCTCGCTCCTACAGCTCCGCCAGGTGCAGCCCATTGAACTGCCCTGGTGCCTGCGGCTTTTCCAGGCTGTTGCACGTTGCCAGCAGCTGCACAGTCCTGCGCTCCTGGTGACAGTCCTGCCGTCCTGGCTCCACTAGACATTTCCCCAGTGAGGGTTCTTTGTGGGGGCTCCAACCCCACTTTTCTGCTCCATATTGCTTTAGTAGATGACTTCTGCGGTGGCTCCACTCCTGCAGCAGGTCTCTGCCTGAGTCCCCCGGCTTTTTCACACATCTTCTGAAATCTGGCTGGAGGCTGCCACACCTCCACTGCTCTCGTGTTCCACCAGCCTGCAAACTTAACAGGACGTGAACGCCACCAAGGTTTCCAGTTTGTGCTCTCCAGAGCTGCTGCACAAACCACACTTAGAGATGCCAGAGGCAGGGCTGCTCCAGCCAGAGCAGCCAGAGTTCAGGGAGTAGTTTCCCTAAGGGCAACGGCACCCCAGGTCTGTCCTCTGGAGAAACTCAGTTCTCTTAGGCCTCCAAACCTATGATGCGAGGAGTGCCCTTCCAAACTTCCAAAATGCCCTCAGGGCCTTTCTCCCATTGTCTTGGCTATTAGCATCTATCTGCCCCATCCTCGGTTCCTGAATTACTTGAATCAGCTCAGCACACACCCACCATTTACTCACAGTCTCAGGCCGTTCTCCAGCATTTGCCCACACAGTTCAAACAGCCGTATTCGCCCAGTCCATCAAGAAGTGGCTGGCCTGCCCCTGTGCTTATCTGTGGCGATCCTGTAACCACTGCCACAGAGACAGGTGCATAGTAACGGAGGCTAACTTTTCCACATTTGCACCAGGTGAAAACGTACCTGAAATTCTGCGGGGGCACCCATCCTCGGGTCATCTGCCCATCTGCATGTGGCACTCTTTTCTCAGGTTTATATGGCACCCATCGAGCCGTCTGTTTTCTCAGGTTTATATGGCACCCAGTGAGCCATTGGGTTTAAGTAGCACCCTCCAAGCCATCGACCTTTGGACAAACGTGACATGCATTTACTACATCATCTCCAGAGCACATTACACCATCCACCCCTAGGTCCCATAGCTGCAGCAGCCAGGCAGCTAGGGGCTCTCCCTGTTTCTGCTGCTTTATTGTTTCCTCAAGCCAACCAATTCGACCTGGGTATATGGGACATAGGTAGTTAATTGGGTCACTTGTGGGTTGCCTACCAGTCCATCCAGTCCCATAGGCTGCTCATGCTTCACTTTCTGATGAGCAGCAGGTCATTCCAGGAGAAGCACAGTCTCTCCCAACTCACCATTGGGTTTGTCATACACAATCGGGTTTGACATCGGGTTTGTCTTTGGCGTCAAAAGCAAGGACGACCTGCTGCTGGACTTCAGCCTCCAGGGCATGTATTGCGTCTTCATCCTGTCTGCTTTCTGCTGCAAATCTTGAAACTGTGCTGCTTCATGGGGTTTCTGGTCTATGTTGGCTCACAGTGCAGTGAGCAACAGCCAGACCCCGGTCAACAGGAAAGCGGCCACCAGGCACCACATACTCAAGGGTAGCCACATTTCCTCCCCTTCCCAAGGAGCTTTCTGCTTCTTTACCTGCTTGGCATCCCACTCATGACTCCAACTGCCTTGAATCCTGCCATGGCTACACCAATTGTCTTGCTACATGACTATGCCAGTTGTCGGGTTGAAGCTATAGCTATGCTAATTGTCTTGTTGGGATTATTGTCAGAATCCTGTCAACGTAGCCAATGGTATCGCTACAGACTATGCCAATGTAGCCAGTTGTATTGCTACAGCAATTCATAACTAAAGCCACAACATTTCATTATTTTAGTTATACTAAGTTTTCCAATTGTATTGCTAGGACTAGGGCTAGAGGTTAGGGCCCACAGACCCTTCAAACCCATTGTACAGACTGGGCCATCAGACCCCTCACAGGCCAGGCTGGGTCACAAGACCCCTCACACAC